AGAGGGCTGTTACAACAAACTCTAATGAAATCCAGGTCAAAAACTTATATCCCGCTGGGCATGGTGGCATACGACTTTAATCCCAGCACTTGGGAGGAAGAAGCAGGCAGATAGATCTCTGAGTTCCAGGCCAGCCAGGGCTATACAGAGAAACCCTGCTCAAAAAAACAAACCAAAGCAAAAACAACCTTACATCCCACTAAGCAGGAAACATCCCCCTCAGACAAAACAAACAACCAAACAAACAAAAACAATGGATTAATTTCTAGATGCATGTCTTACTGCCTTAGTAGACACATGAGTAGACATACAATGAGTAGAAGCTCTCTGGGCAGAAAAGGAGAGGATTTATTAGCGTTCACATCCCAGTCAGTTTCTCACAGAGGGAGCAGAGGCAGGAACCAGAAAGGAGTGCTGCTTACTGGCTTATTCCATTGCGCATGGCTTGCTCAGCCTGCTTTCTCACACAGCTCATGCCCACCTGCCCAGGGGTGGCAGTGCCCACACTGTGCTGGGCCATGCCACATCATTCATTAATCTAGAAAATGCCTCACAGACCTCACAGGACAATCTGATGGAGGCAATTCCTCAACGATATTTCCTCTTCCTGGGTAAATTTAGGTTTGGGTCAAGTTGACAAAAATTAACCAGCACATCTACTAATATTAATTATTGTGAAAGTAACATTTCTAAAAGTAATATATAATGAAATCCCCACTAAATTTCCAATGACATTCACCACAGAACTAGAAAAAGTAACCCTAAAATTCATGTGGAAACACAAGGTCACAAGTAGACAAAGCAGTTCTCATCACAAGAACAATACTGGAGACATTACAACACCTATCACAGCCACAGTTCGAAAGATAGCATAGTAACAGAAAAAAACTGACATTTACACCAAAAGATGCCATAAGTAAACCCACACAGCTGTGACTAATTTTTGAATTTACGTATCAAAAACACACACTGGAAAAAGGCAGCTTACTCAATAACAGCACTGGCAAAACCAGTACCAAATCAAATGAGCATTGATTTGCAGAAGAATGAAATTAGATCCTTATCTCTCACCCAGTACAAAACCCAGCTCAAAGTAGAGTAAAGACCTATTGCAAAACCCACAACACTAAAACTGATGGGGACAGACACCCCAGATATAGGTGTAGGCAAGAACTTTCTGACTAGAGCACCAACCACACAGGGAAAAGCCCCAAGAATGGGCAAAGAAACCGTCTATAGAGGGAGCACAGCCTACAAACTGGGAGAAAACCCCTAGCAAATCATTCTTCAGACAGGGGCTAATATCTAGAAGAACTCCAGAATTAAACACCAAAAGAATAAGCTGTCAAACAAGAAATGGGATAATGAACTGAACACTCCATTTTCAAGAGAAAACAAGTAGTCAGTAACTTCCAAGAATGATAAGTAACCTTCATCCTCAAGGAAATGCAAATTAAAACTACTGTGCAACTACATTTCACCCTAGTCAGAATGACTACTGTCAAGAAAATAAGCAACAGCAAATGCTGGCGAGGATGTAAGGAGATCCAGAACCCTTACTCTGCTGTTTGTGGGAGTGAAACCTGGCATAGCAACAGGGAAACCAATGTGGAAGATCCCAATGAGGGAGGGAGGGAGAGAGGGAGGAGGGAGGGAGGAAAGGGGGGAGAGAAGGAGGGATGGACTAGAACTACCACACTACCCTTCTGCTAGACATCTGGGCATGAACCCAAAGGACTCTTCCTCTCACCACAGGGACGCTTCCATTCACATTTACAGCAGCAAGGGAGCAGCAACCTGTGTGTCCACAGAAGAACACACCCTGAAAATGCAGACGGATACATTGCAATTCTGCTCAGCCATAAGGAAAAAAAGAATTCATAGGAAAATGGATACAAGTAGAAAACAAGCTATGTAAGGTAACTCAGGTTCAGACAGACAAACACCACGTGTACTGCCTCACACGGGAATCTTGGCTTCCAGTTTTTGCATGTGTCATGAAACTAGAAAAGGATCCACAGAGGGGCAGAAAGGGTCTTTAAAGAAAGGAGCTTCGGAGGGCACCAGGACGTAGTGACAAGGCAGGAGTGGAGGGAGCGAGGAGTGATGTTAACTGAACATGTATGAAATGGGATAAGGAACATTATTCTGCATGCTAGTTTTTAAATTAGTGAATTAAAAATTTTACAATGAACATTGAGGAGACTACATGCTCAATCTCAGGCTCAAAACCCTACCCACTGCCAATAAAACAAGCTCAAACCAATTAAACAAAACCAATGGCACTGAAGAGTCTCGCTAAAACTAAAACAGAATTATTCGGTATCACCAAAACACGAAACAATCAATGAACTCTGGCTCAAATGGTTTACCTCAGTCTAGGGTAATTTCCTCACCTTCACTTATACAAGTGTGGCCTCTCCTTTCATATAACAATTTTCCCACTCAGATTCATGAAAGCAGCCCTCTTACACAGATTACTTCAAAAAACAAAACAAAAACCACACAATGAAACATGTGAACCATTTAATCACCCAAACTTTTGAGCATAAAATCTACCACATACCATGTATATCTCCTTCTGGAAGACATACAGCAGTAGACATATAGGGGGACTCCCCTCCACTAACTGAGACACACTGTAACTGGACGCGCAGTTCAAACAGTAAAAGGGATGGCGCATGACACACCACCTGGCTTATGCTTAGCTGGGTTCCTTTATATCTGGTGCTGCACCAAGGCGTCGCTGCTCTCCTTCAAAGCAATATTCGAAACCACCGTATTGGACTGGGAATGACTTCCATAACATCGGAGCTTACCCCTCTTACCTTTAACCTGCTTTTTGTTTGCTTTTTCTTATCCTAGCACGAGTGTATCCCTATGCCTTTCCTCATTCCAACATCTTGAACTCATCCCCTAGAAGTTCAAGCTCTCCCTACTACTTGCTGTTTTTTCCACTCATTCTCCAGCCTCTCCCTTAAACAACAAACACGCTTTCACATTTCTGATCACTTATAAACGCTGACTGCTTGGAAGAGGTGATTATTTGTTGTAGAGGGACGTCGCTACGTTTCTCAGAAAGATCTTGAACTCCTAGGCTTCAACTTTTTGAGTAGCTGGGACAACAGGCACATGCCACTGAACCCAGTTATTCCCAAACATTGGACCTACTATGTGCCGTACACAGCTCTATATTGTAGGGTCACACACATGATCTCTGCCCTTACCAAACTTACATATCGTGGTGGGCAACTCTGACAATAAGCAACAAACATCTGCAATGATGGTTTTTGACAGACTGAACACTGAAGCAAGTAAAACCTGGTGATTCCACTGAGGTAACTCAGCTGATCTGCTGACAGGGGTCTTTTGAGCTCTTCACTGGGAGGGTGATGTCACACAAAACTGAACCAACTACTTGATAGTCTGATGCAGAGTAAGTTAAGATAGAGTAAACAAAACTCACAGAGCTCGGGCAAGGCAGCTTTGCACTCAATGAGATAAGGGTGACTGGAAAGGATAGAGCACTAAGCAGGGTCTGGAGCTTAGGAGACCCTGCGAAAGGCATCTGAACTGTATTCTACTCCAGTAGGAAGCCATCAGAGGATCTTAAGAGAGTAACAGGAAGTCATCAGTTTTAAACTTCAAACATGCAACAAGTCCTTTGCCCAACACAGCAAGTGCTGCCACAGCTAGACAACACTGTCATGTTAGCTTCTTTTTCTTTTTCTGGTGAGAGAGGATCTCCCTCTCACTCTGTAGCCCTAGCTGGTCTAGAACTATACTGACCAGACCTTGATCTCAGAGATGGGCCTGCTTCTGCCTCTGGATTGCTAGCTGTCATGTCTTATCTAACCTCTTAAAGTAAGAAGAATTTAAGGGAAAGATGGCTCTGCAAGTTAAGAACATCTGGTGCAAAAATCAAGGGGACCAGAGAGTTTGAATTCCAGCAACAGCTAGGATCCCAGAAAAGGCCTGTAACTACATCTCCAAGGGATCCCATACCTTATCCTGGCATCCATGTACACAATGTATACAAATACCTAAATAAGCAACTTTAAAAAAATGTCTCAACATCTGAATTTAATGTCTTATCAAATATACACTGGCTTTAAACCAAACTGAAAATCAGAGAGCAGAGTGAGCCTCTGACATCGAGGTCTTCGATTGTAACCTCAGCACTCAGGAGGAGCAGGGATCCAAGGTCACCCTTCACAGCAGACTTCTCTGTCAGCCTGGGCTACAAGAGACTTTCTAAAAAACAAAACGACCACAAACTTGATTTAAAAAAAAAATCACAGGGTTGATCCGTTTTGTATTAAATCAAGATAAGTTGAGAAAACACAAATACGATTTTACTTTATCCTGCCCTAGATTTTGAACCAAACTCAAACTTACCTCGACAAGCATCTTCAAAATCCTGGGTGATGTCCACCCAACTTGTGTTACTTTTTTCCATTTTCTCAGGGACACCGAGCTCCCATGCCGAGTCGTCGTCTACGGCGGTTTTCATAACCATCGTGCCTGCGAAGGGGACACTGGCGTGAGACTGAGGACGGACAGGGTTTCGGCAGGGCAGCGTCTTCAGGACTACCCAAGCTCTGGGCGGAAGACTCCACTCCTCCACCCCGGAGGCTCGACCCCGCCGAGTCGGCGGGATGGAAATGCACAAGACTGACGAGCTTTGTGCAACCGGAGCTCACGTTCGCAGCCGCCAGGACTCCCGGCTTCTTCTAACCGGCTCCCCGCGGCTCTCCCCGCTCCCCCGCTCGCCCGC